CACACCCACACCCACACCCACACCCAGACCCACACCCACACCCAGTTTATCATGGGCAACTATGTTGATAGAGAATTGGAACATAATGAACAAATATATCATCATCCTCATCATGGAAGTGAACTAAGTCCATTTTATTGTGCATGTCGTAGTGGTGATGTAGCAACTGTTCAATCAATGTTACGTACTATATCCTACAAGGATTTAAATCGATTGGAACTAAATGGTAGTACTCCACTTCATGCAGCTTCATCTAATGGCCACAAAGAAATTGTTCGTCTTTTATTACATGAACGTGGTTGTGATCGATCACAACGAAATCGTTATGGTCAAACAGCGTATGAAGTAGCAAAAACTGATGAAATTCGAGAACTGTTTCATCGACCATTAAATATTAATCGATTTTGTAATATTAATGAACAAAACAATACTCAACAAACATTTTCTATTGTTTCTTCTCAATGGGAACAAATAAACGATAATGATAATGATCAACCAATACCTTTAAAATGGATTAAACTTTTGCAAAATGACGATGAAATATATAAAGAAATTCACTATCTTGGTAAAGGTAAACGTTTACTTCAATCAAAATTTGGACGATGTATTGTTGGCCAAGGTGCAAAACATTACAGAAATAAAGAACTTAAAGGTTATGAAAATTTAATTAGATATATGACTGATCGATCGTATTGTATTAATAAAATTCGTAAAATTCTTGATAATACAGTATCAAAAGAACATAATCAATATGATAGATGCTGTGATCTATTATCAAAATATTCTCAAGATGGAAACGTTGAATCTTTATTAAGACTTTATTCACTTGAAACACCATTTTATCAAGCATTACGTCATGATATAGGACCATTAAAATGGCCATTATGTTTAAATCTTTCAAATTTAAAACATCGATATTTTCAAGGTCAATGTTATCGTGGCGTAATAATGACAAGAGATGATTTACAATCATATCATGCAGCACTTAGTAATAAAGGAAGTTTTATACGAACAAATCCTTTTTGATCAGCCTCAACTGATCGTCAAGTAGCAGAAAGTTTTCATCAAATTTCATCATCATCGTCATCATCAAACAATAAAATAAATGTTTTAATCCATTACCATTTTCCTCAGCCATGCGATCAAGCAATTTATTTAGCATCAATTAATAAATTTCATTTACCATGTATATCAGAATATGAAAATGAATTTGAAGTTTTAATACTACCTCGAACATTGTTTATTGTTACAAATATTTCTAATGTCACTAGAATCGATGAAGAACAACAACAAAATCAATATATAGTAATTCATTTGGAAAATGTTTTACATACTAAAGAATCCTTATTGAGTTCATTAAAATTTCTTATTTCAAAAACGCACCAAAGTGAGATGGTAATTTATTATAATTCTATTACAGAAGCAGAACAAGGAAACAATACTAGTAAGACGATCGAAAACTAGCATTGGCACATTATTGAAAATATGAAAAGTTTAAATTACAATTCGATATTATTTTATTTTCATCATTATCAATTCTTAATCCACATAGTTCACCTGTAAATATCTTATGTGAAAGTGTAAATTGTTGAGGATTATTCATCAATCGTAAAACGTGCATAGCTCTACTCAATGTTTTCTTTTTTCTTTTTTTTCTGTCTTTTGTTAATATATCGACTTGTGTTTCGTTCTCCGTTGATTCAAGGACATTGTTTTTTTCATGCACATCTTTAAACAAAGAAAAATATCATTCGGGATTTTTCTTTCTGGTGTATAATTTTTTTGTTTCATTTAATAAACTATTCATCCGTTTTATGTCGTCCAAAGTTTACATGTTACCGAACTGTTAATAACCAAACCTAAACGATATTATGACAACTTCTTTTAAACATATTTTATTTCATTCAAAAGTCAACTTCAATATGCTGATTTATTTGATCTTTTGATTGCAACAGAAGCTATAATAAATGTTCTCAATCAATGCTTTGTTTCATTACGTAATACGCTGTGTTAAAAACACAGAATACGCCACAAGATATTGCATGAAAAGCTCTACAATTTACAAAAGACAACTCATTCTATGATCATAATTTCTTTTCTCAAAACGTAGAAAATTTTGTGGATCTAACTTTTTTTGACAATTTGAAAAACAAAGAATATTTTAGTACATGATCAAGTTCATATCTCATTATTGTGGCTAATGAGTTATATCGACGGCTAAAACGGATAGGCATTCCAATTATAACAATATATAATGAGGCAAAGCTAAAAACAATACTACTTTAGTTGACGACATGAGAAAAGGAATTCATTGTGCATCTAATAATAATCTTGTTTGTATAGTCAAAAATCAGTCGAGCTGCATCTTGTTTAATTAACACAGCGTATTGGATAATCAAAAAAAAAGCATTGGAACAGGGAATTTTGTTTTATTTCAGGAACAATATGGCTGATACAATTCTATTTATTCAAATGCATATTACAAAGACATAGAAGAACAGGTTTTCTAAATAATATAAATATGGTTGGGGTGGGTGTGGATGAGGTGTGAATACAAATGAAAAGAAGACCCTCACTCGCACCTACACCCACCACACCCAGGTCACCCACGCCCACACCCACGCCCACACCCTTTACCACACACCGACATCCTATACCCCACACCCACACCCTCCCAAAGTTCCTAAGAGTTATTATAAGTTGGATAAACCCCCTTATTTGACTAATTTAAGAAACCAGGGTTCTTCAAGACTTCTGAACCTGTGGCATGCGGACACATCTCATTCTCTCTTTAGACCGGCAAAATTATTTGATTTTGTATTCACTTTAGAAAATTCGGCGCAGAGATGAAAGAAGTAATAAAGTGAAAGTATCAAGAAACAGTAAGTGTATCTGCAATCAGCTTCGAGTTCCACTAGTCGATGAATAGCTCGTCAACATACAGAACCGTGTTTAGTCTACAGCTATCTCAGGCTTGAGGTCTACGAACAGGTACGTAAAGTCAGAAATCCTACAAGAACGGGTAGCGAAGTATAATTCTTTGATTCACTTCGTCAGAGTTGAAATAACAAATACGACGAACCTGGATGTGCAGTGTGAGTGTAAATGCTTGATATTATCGTAGCGAACAACACCACGCACAGTCAATATTCATATCGAATGGTTGCTCACAGCTGATGTAAGCAGACCAATTGGATTTTGATTAGTTTAGAAAATCATCAAAAATCTAATCACTGGGAAAGTTCATTTTTCTAGTTTTACTCTGATTTTCTGTAATACCTTACTTCCGTTGGAACAAAGAAATCCTCTCAAAATCGTCGATTTTTGTTCCTTGAGACGCGTCGATAACAAACGAAACCCAGTGGCAGACAGAATTCATCATATTGAAAGAAAAAAATTCAACGTCAGCTTTTTTTCATCGTTGTTTTTTCTCCGTGTTACGCCTGCCCACTGTCATTTACTGTGCAAATAGAAACAGGAGGAAAAAATATAGAAGTTGGTAACAATAATATAAATCCATTGGGGTGCATTTTCGTTTGGTTATTGCTAATGTACTTTTTTGTTGATTTTTCTTGTTTTGTTTTGTTATTGTACTTTCAGAAGAAACTCAACAGAGACACAATTCATGAAAGCCACGAACAAGTTTTTATTCGCGGAATACTATTTTGTGTTTATACAAGGACATTAAACATGCAATGACATAACAATGTTTTTCTTCTTCGCTTCTGAATTAATTCAGCAAGAGAGTGTCTTCAGTGTTGTTGTTGACCCTGGCAAACCTAGTTGTCGATCAATACAAAAAAATAAAAAAGTACAAACATGTTTAAAACAAAATACAAGCTAAACTTTTTCATTATCTGTCAACTGTATTTAAGATAATCTGTATTGTCTTTTAACTTACTGAAAAGAACACATTCGTAGTATCAATGGTTCAGCATATTTCTGGACGTTGTTTTCTTCATTCGCATCATATTAGTACTATAGTTTTCGCATTAATATTATGACAAAAGGTTCAATGCAGGAAACTCTGAATTTCATCAAGAAAAAAAATCCGATATTTTTTTTCAATCACTCGTAGAAATTAAACGATGATCGCTAATAGGCTCATTGGAAAGACTTCTTCTTGTCTTATACATATGACACATAACATCAATAATAATTAGAAAAGGTCACTGCATCAAGTATTAGAACGAAAATATGTTCAAATGCTAGCCTCACTTATGATAGGTGTATGATACAGAGTGTGAATGAAATGAGCGTCCACACCCACACCTTCAAGACATTGGCAAAAAATCACTTTGTGATATATATGTGAATTGGTGACTTCATTAAAATGTCTTTTTTCTTCTCTTTTAAAATGTATCCAATAAGATTCTTGTTTTAGATACTGCCATTCCGAATAACAGACTCTAAATTTCCACTTGTGTATTCTTATTAAATTGTTTTTGAAAAATTTATTTGTTATTTTCTATTTTACCTAGTAACTTAGTCGAATGTTGTAGATATACATAACAATGCAAGTTTCATTTATTGAAGTATAAAATAGGGTATATATTTCCCAGGTACTGAATTTTTAATCGTAAATACGACTTCTTTTGTTTTTACAGTTCGCAATCGTCTTGTATTTTTTACTTTGAATGTTTTAGCGTTGCTATGTGCAACTCTTTCCGATTGTTTGGATGTTAGAAAAGAGTTCAAAGAGAAAGAAAAAAAATTGAGAAGCAAAGACTAACAAATAAATCATTCGAAAAATAAGAGATTTCTATTAAATACACAATACTCAACGAAGCTGGACGAGAAGGTAACTGAATTTATTTGGTATAGTTTTTGACTTAGTTGATTTTAATAACTTATTATGAAGGTATCTAAGACTGGGCAGAGTATTTATGATGCCCTAATCATAGATATTATATCATCATAATGCTACCGATCAGAAAGAAGTTTGACAGATGTTAAATTGATACTGATGACTGACTTCCAGGCACAAAATCGATTTATCATATTTTCTTCATCAACGTTTAAATGAATTTGCCATGTTTCGTCCATCAGGTATAAGTTAAGTGATTTATAGAATTTTATAAGGAAATTTTGATTTTCGTCGATTTCAATGCTATCTGATCGATTCATAACTACAAAGGAACCTGGATCAGATATAGTTCTTGATTCATCTGCCACTTTTCATAATTAAATAGTATATTAAGAAATCAATTGATAAAGACCTAGGATGATAGTATACAGGTGTGAATGTTTTTACCATTTTTGAAATTAGAAGCCATAATTAGAAATTCTTTTACATGTTCAGAGGGTAGTTAATCAATTTACCCGCAGACCAATTAATAATAATATAGTGCTAGATATACAGAGGATTATATTTGATTCACATTTTCGACTGGACATTCGATTCGACGATATTAAAGTCGGCAAAAATGTATCATTTACTCTATTCTCATGAAATTGTCACTAAAGTACATGATTATTATGTTTTCTTTTTTTCCCCATTATGTTCATCTACTTCCGCTAAGCCAGAGACGAAATAAGTATAATATCGAACGTACCCTGCAAGAAACTCTCGAGAACTTGAGATGTGAATGTGCGATTGATTGCGCGCACATGTACTCACGAGCTAAATTGACATCAATAGCTGTGCAAACATGCTCATTATGCAACTTCAGATATATTCAGAATGAAGAACAGCGACGCGACGGTAAACCGAGCCTACAGTCCTGCGAGAACGCGGGAACTGAAACTCTCGGGAAGACTTCGGGAATGGGAACCCAAAAAATTGTTTCCATAGGATCCCAACCGAGCATCGGTTTTACGTTGCGGAAGATCTCGAAATCATCACGTTCTTGTTGAAAGTGAGAGCCTGAAAAATGGCTTCCAGCACGTATTCCTAACTGTAATAGTTTTTGTGATGAAACTTCTAAAATATTTTAGAAGCTGTTCCACGTAGGATCAAATGATATATTTAGTCAAGGAGAAGCAGATCGAATTTCTGCAGGTCATTGATAGTATTTCTAATTACT